AGAACACAGTGCCAACAAGGACACTCAATTGATTTTACGCGATCTAACCCAAAAAACTCTATTATGGAGGACATAGGGGATTTGCAATTCGTAGATTTGATGAGGCGCGATTTGGAATTCGCTGGTTTGGACGGACAAATAGTTTATTACAAACTCCCACTTGGGATAAGCATGCGTTTGGAATTCCCAGTTCGGATGGGAAGAGCGATTGGATTTGGCAGTTTGGATAAGCACGGCGCGTGTCGGAGCAGCTGCTGACACCACGTGGCCCTTGACCGTCCTTTATTTAACCACGCGAGAGCCACTGTCCACAAAGGAGACCAGTGCCGTGTACGTCATCATAATTATTATTAAACAAACATGTGCTTATTATCCTCAGATTATGTTGCGATCACCTTGCCGCATGGTTAGAATTTTACTCTGGTCATGAGAGTGACAATTATTTAAGGTGTCTCTTATCAACTGTTCATCAGGAAACGTGTTTAAACAAGTACTTCTGATCACAGGCCCTTGGTGAAAAATCCGATTCCCAACTCTTTAACGTCTCACTGGCCTGTGCGCCATGAAGAAGGGCCATTGACTGAAACGTCGCCTGGAATGTGGATTTGCGTACAGCGCCTAACCGCATCTCAAGACGTGGAGGGCATACTTTATAGATTAATGCACTCGTAGGTTTATAAGAGAGTCTAAGACTCTTGAGTCTATGGGCCTCACTGAGTCTATGGGTCCCACTCAGTCTATGGGTCCCACTCAGTCTATGGGTCCCACTCAGTCTATGGGTCCCACTCAGTCTATGGGTCCCACTCAGTCTATGGGTCCCACTCAGTCTATGGGTCCCACTCAGTCTATGGGTCCCACTCAGTCTATGGGCCTCACTGAGTCTATGGGTCCCACTCAGTCTATGGGTCTCACTGAGTCTATGGGTCCCACTCAGTCTATGGGTCCCACTCAGTCTATGGGTCCCACTCAGTCTATGGGTCCCACTCAGTCTATGGGTCTCACTGAGTCTATGGGTCCCACTCAGTCTATGGGTCCCACTCAGTCTATGGGTCCCACTCAGTCTATGGGTCCCACTCAGTCTATGGGTCCCACTCAGTCTATGGGTCCCACTCAGTCTATGGGTCTCACTGAGTCTATGGGTCCCACTCAGTCTATGGGTCTCACTGAGTCTATGGGTCCCACTCAGTCTATGGGTCCCACTCAGTCTATGGGTCCCACTCAGTCTATGGGTCCCACTCAGTCTATGGGTCTCACTGAGTCTATGGGTCCCACTCAGTCTATGGGTCCCACTCAGTCTATGGGTCTCACTGAGTCTATGGGTCCCACTCAGTCTATGGGTCTCACTGAGTCTATGGGTCTCACTGAGTCTATGGGTCCCACTCAGTCTATGGACCTCACTGAGTCTATGGGTCTCACTGAGTCTATGGACCTCACTGAGTCTATGGGTCCCACTCAGTCTATGGGTCCCACTCAGTCTATGGGTCTCACTGAGTCTATGGGTCCCACTCAGTCTATGGGTCTCACTGAGTCTATGGGCCTCACAGTCTATGGGTCCCACTCAGTCTATGGGTCTCACTGAGTCTATGGGTCTCACTGAGTCTATGGACCTCACTGAGTCTATGGGTCCCACTCAGTCTATGGGTCCCACTCAGTCTATGGGTCTCACTGAGTCTATGGGTCCCACTCAGTCTATGGGCCTCACTGAGTCTATGGGTCCCACTCAGTCTATGGGCCTCACTGAGTCTATGGGTCTCACTGAGTCTATGGGTCCTACTCAGTCTATGGGCCTCACTGAGTCTATGGGTCCCACTCAGTCTATGGGCCTCACTGAGTCTATGGGCCTCACTGAGTCTATGGGTCCCACTCAGTCTATGGGCCTCACTGAGTCTATGGGTCCCACTCAGTCTATGGGTCTCAGTGAGTCTATGGGTCCCACTCATTCTATAGGCCTCACTGAGTCTATGGGCCTCACTGAGTCTATGGGTCCCACTCAGTCTATGGGTGTCACTGAGTCGATGGAAATAACAGTGAAGCTGGTTTGCAGGCAAAAACGGACGGAAACAATTCTCCCCAAGCTGTGGTCCGCCAGGAGGGGGCACTGTTGTGATGCATAATCCCCACCGAGTAAACATTTAACATTTAGACCATGACTCCGACAACACAGTACCCTGCTCTTGAGAAAGACGTGGCGGGATCCTTTTAACGTCCACGGTGAAGACGCATGCCGAACGCGCTTCGTGCCACCGGATGCGGAACCTCACACCGAGCGAGGGTTGACGAGGGCGAGCAGACAAGAGAGGGAGTTGTGAGATGATAGGGGAGGGGGGGAGAGTGCGTGTAGCGGAGTGGAGAAGAGACGTGCCGGTTCGACCGTTGAGCATCTTCACTTGATCGTTAACACGCGCAGGAATTTCGGACTTGACAACTGCAAACAAGTTGCCCACCTTCGGCTGTTCCCACTCTGAATTTGAGTTCGAAGAGGATTCTGATTCTTCGCTAACCCGGGACATCAACCCCAGCCCCCCCCCCCCCCCCCTCTTTGCAGCCCTGAGCTGTATACAGCCTCCCAGGAAAACGTTGACCCAACGTCAACCAACGTCGGGGCCGACTTTGCACGTTTACGAGGATATCTCTCCGTTTCTGTTACACCCCCATAAGCTAGTATTTTAATTACCATTTTAATGTACATCTTTCCTCTCGGTGACGGTAAAGCAAGTCCGATATTACCTTCAATAAACCCTTTATTTTACAGTGCACTGCAATCGGTTGCTTCATCGTGCACACACAAAAGGAGATTCAGCTTTGGCTCACAACAAACTTTTTGCATGCGCTGTCCTATCCCTTAGTATCCAAAACCAACGCCCTCAAGGCCCCGCACGATTCTTACAGCACTGACAGCAGCTCAGCTACAGACCCCGGTCCACCAAACACACACGCACACAGCGGACAAATATAGGCAGGTCCTGTCGGGATCGGCAACCCAGGGAGAATATATCCACATCCGGCATACCACGTTCGGTATTCCTCTCGTCAGAATGGCTGTGGCGACGAATCACGTGCACACTCGCTGTACGGGTGACCTTGAAAATATCAACAGAGAAATGAATCCCTGTTTTACGACGCAGCTCAAGCATGCGGGACGGGATATGGGTTGGAGGCGGCACGCACCAAATGTGATCGCTAGTTCCACCGCGAACGTCCCTCACCGGCACCGCTCGCTCACTCACACACAGTTGCCAAGGAAGAGCGGTGAAGTAGTACCGTGTGCGATGCTACGGATCAATCTGTGAAGGGAAAACCTGTGCATTTATCCAGCAGGAGTGGCAAATCTATTGGGGAGAGCCACCCCCCCCAACAGAATCTCAAGTTGGCGAGATTATCACGGCAATTGCTGTCAATGACACCACCGCCTTACCCGAAGGAAGGCTCTCAGTCTCACCCCCACCGCCACCACCACCAGCCTGGCTTCAGGGCTTCCTCTTCTTATACAGTCAACACATCCTTCGAGAACCACGCGGATCTGCTCTGAGCCTTGAGCCACTCAGTTTCTTCCAAAGAGCCATGAGCGGCTCAGCCGTGTGGCTTGACTCAGGCTCATGGAAATACAGAGCATGGCTGGGACCATGTCCCATGTTCACAGCCGGCTCAAGTTAAGCGTGGCTTTAAGTCAGCTCAACTTGAGCTGCCAGAGCCAAGCTTGATCCGAGCTGCGACTAAGCATACGGCCTGAGAGAGTCTCATGGAGTTGTATACAGAGGGTGTGGACTTAACGAGTGACTTCCTCCCTCGCATGTATCAGTGCCCCGTGTTTACCGGGTCAGAGAATCGCCACCGTCAGGAAATTGCAAGTGTTACAGATCGGTGACGCTGGGATTCACGCGCTGGGAGGGGCCAGGAAATGTCCCTCACCGAGACCGAGAGACGCGACGCCCTCACAGCCTCTCGACTTGGCGCACCTTCCGCTCATACACACGGCAGCGCCGGCGCGGAACAGGCGATGGCGTGGCTCACAGCTCGGCCGGTTCAACGACTGCTCCGAAAGGCGACACACCAATTTGTTTACGCCAATGACCGCAAAACTAATTGCATTGCCGAGCAAACGTACTGCGATACCTTGGAAGACGACGGTTCGAAAAATGCCTCCTGTAATCAAGATGTTTACAATCACAAGTGTTCTGGCTTGCACGATGGCTACAGTCACATGACTGAGACTACAAATGACTGCAGACCGAAAGCATTTCCCACACGGCGCGTTCAATGCTTCGCTGCTGGCCCTGCACTCTCAGGTCAGTGACCGGTCGCATGAAAATACCTAAAATGTATTTTTTCTTTACCCCCCTAAACGGTTCAGCAATTGTTTTTATGGAAGTTTTTTTTGTCACCATGTGAACCTGACACCTTGACCTTTTGACTTCATTGCCGAGTGTCTGGACAGCTGCCTTGGCTATCATTCGACAGGTCCTACTGGTTTGAACTGTAAAAATAAAAATCACCCGGAATGCACCCAAACTCATCAGATCTCGGAAACTAAGCAGGCCCGAGCCTGAATTTGTTTTGGCAATTTGCCGTGCCATGCCAGAACCGAACCGTGAAACCTTGGCCTCACGGGACAATATCAGTCTGGTGCGGAGTCAAGTAAAGAGAGGGGACGGAGGTTGATGTTTGCGTTGTGTCAGCCGGTACATGCTCGGCTCCTGCAGTAGTACAACTTTGGCAACTCCACAACCACGCCAGGCCAGCTCAGGTGTACAGTGGAAAAGAGATACCAGGAAAGGACCTGCTATCTCTCATTGCATCATTAGCAGCCGTGATCAATCCACCGCTGAATGAAGGCATCCCCAAGTTTTCACCACCCCTCACGATCCCTGCAGTGACGCGATCCACCCACCAGCGCCTGCTCGCGAGCCGATCCAACCGATCCATCTCCGCCAGCACATGCCGTTCAAGCTTCCATCGTCGCCAGCACCGGTAACATCGCCCATCTCAGCTCGTCCACTCACCCGAGTCGTCTTCGTCGTCCACCATCTGCTCGTCCCCGGACGCGAGCGATGCGTCGTCGAGCAGAGAGCTGTGGCTCAGACCCATGTTCATGCCGAAGCCCAGTCCTAGGCCCAGGAGGGGCCCATCCCCGTGGAGGAGCAACGAGGTCTCGTGGTCACGCCCGCCGTACGCCAGCTCGTGCGCCGTCAGCCCCGGCTCCAGTGTGGGCAGAGACTCAACGATGACGGCCGGGTAGTCGGACATCTGCGGGCCACGGTGCGGACAGAGGGCACGCGCAGGTATGGCGAGGCCCTCAGCGGCTTGCATCACCCTGCCCCATGTCTGGCGGGCTCAACTGGGTCATGTGGGGGAGCTGGCGGCCCATTATTTACACTCGGAGCTGGAATTTAACTGGATTCGAAGCCAGGATCTCAGTGGTGCCAACTCGGCGATTTGACCTCAGCACCACCCGCCTATCTCGAGGTCTTTGGGTTTTTTTAAAGACGTAATTAATCAGACGGCCTAGCCAGAGTCTCTATGACACGATTTGCAATGTGACATCAATTTATGACTCCAGGTTGAGGAGGCTACAAAAGTTCCGTCTCCGATTTTATAGTATCTAGTGCTGTGTGCAGGTGAACTAACTAATGATCAATCATGAATGAATATTGACTGATAAAACCCACGTGTTCAAATAACATTTCCATTCATTAATCCCTAACACAGACTCGGTCGCTACTGGAAACATCCTCCAGGGGGCGGCAGCCTTTCACCGGTTGAGCTGCGTCACGGGACCTCATGTGACTGTGGCGCCTTCTTCTGGCTACAAGTGGCAAGTAACATCACCAGGGGTGAAGGAGCAGCCCTGCAATTGTCAGCTCACTGCCGTAGACCTCCGCTCGAGGAAGCCCAACCCCCCACAGGGCCCATCTGGAGGGGGTCTTTGGCCTACTCTTCCACCGCACGCGATCTGCCGATCGACTAACTGTTGGGAACCCGATTATAACCATTGGGTGAACAGAGGCAGTGGCGTGGTGGTTTCAAGAAATCAAGAAACCACCGTGGTTTCAAACTGGCATGACTGGAAATCGAATCGAACGGATGAGCTCGGCGTGTTAACCATTACACCACCGCATCATCGTCGTCACACTGCACGTGTAATGGGCACGGCCTTGTTTTACACCACCAACTGTGTGCACTGCACAGGCAATTGCGGTGATGCCACTTGACTCGCATGGCTTCCTGCCAGTTTGCCGATCTTGTGGCCAGGACGACGGCCTTTTTCTCTCGAGAAATCACCTGTCACGTTGCGTAGTAGTAATTCCTATTTGTTTTTCAGCCTGCCACACACTTTATCTGCCCGATGGGTTTCTCGTTGTTTGCAGACCGTGTGGAAACGTGACCCATCGTAGGAGTGGTCTGTGACTCGATGTGGGATACGGACTCACCCACTCTTAACCCGGCCACTCGGCCCAAACCACTCGCAAAACCCACGTCGCGCATGCGTCTCTAATTCCACAAACTATCGCTCTCAAATGTGCGACATGGAAATGACGAACGTTAAAAAACTACTAAACTATTTTGCCATGACGTGAGAAACATCACCACAGATGACCAAAGCTGAAAACTTTGATGGCGATGATGATGATCAACAAAAGATTTGACCTGGAACCCAACACCACGCAGCAGATTGCCGCCCTATCATTCCTGTGCACGAGCGGTCCCCTTGTGTTAACCCATCGCTGGATGACGAGGCCCTGGCCTGGCTCGGATGTGCCAGTGGAAAAAATATGTACGAGCGGACTCACCTCCTGCCCGTCCTCGCTGTCCATGCCATTGCTCGCGTACTCAAACACGAGACCTCTCTGCTGCTCCACCAGCGTGGAGGCCATTGCGGCGGCGTCGACGCGTGGAGTTCCCTGCTGGAGCGATCGCCCCTCGCGTCCGTCAACGATCGATCGTCGGCGCGCCCAGTGGCCTTGCGGTCCGGATTCTCTCCACTCCACCGCGACGATTACGCCTCCGGCTCGCCGGTGACGTCGCGACTCCCCGACGCCGAAACCGCGTCTACGCGAGGCCTCTTCACGCAACGCGCCGCGTCCACAGAGTCACCGCGGGGAGGCGCTGCCGCATTTGTCGTCAAGTCGCGGACGTTCGTTTTTCGGTTCTCGTATATTTGGCAGCGTTGGTGATGTTTGAAGATGACCGAGGGAAGGCGCAGTAGTTGCTGCCTTGAGTTATGTGGCACAACCGGCCCGACCGATCCGGTTCAGCAGGTGAGGCTCGCAGGCAACATCTTGGGATTTAACTCCGAGCACAGCATCCCACGCCGCACCGCCGGAGACCGTGCCAGCGCCAAGCGTGGCCACTGCTGGCGCCGAGGTCAACTTGATCGGACGAGTGGCGACAGCAAAACGTTCACGGCGCACGTCGACCGGCAACCCTGCAACGAAACGAGAAAAACAAAATTAAATTAAAAAATTATTTTTAAAAAAACGCTTCAGTAGAGGTGCAGCCCTGCAATGTACTTTTTACGACACTGCTGTTGGAAGAGCGTCCACGAGAGGGAGTTCCAGAGAGCCCTTCTCGAGAGAATTTGGCCTGCTGGTCCACGCTGGACAGACGCCTTGGAAGGGGTGGAAGTAACCCACACTCCACCCCAAAACACACGACCTGCCGATCGACTGACCATCATGAACCCATTCATACTGCTGGGTGGACAGAGGTTGAGGGGGGAGCGGGTGGATTTAAGAAACTTGGACCACTGTTTCAACCGACACTGCGGGATATGAAATCGAGGCAGCAACCTCTGCCAGTTTCGCGGCCACAGCAGCGGCAGCCCTCTGTTAGTGTACACAGCTTGCCCAACACTCGTGTTTACACTCAAGCATAATAAGTCGGGGGGGGGGGGTAACACAGGAAAACAAAATGGCAACAAAGCATCGCGCCATACCTTTGGAAACGCTACGGACACGCTACTAACACGCATGCCCGCGAAAGTAGCCCGGGCTCGAACCGCAGAACGCCCACGCGTTTCACCCAAACGACGATCGCGACCGGTCAGGGCAAACACGCGCGCATACAGTGCGTGGACGGCCCAGCGCGTGCCGTGGTTTTGGCGAGAGGCTCTTAGCAGCCTCAGCTGAAGGAAGTGAATCAGCAACGAGCTGTTCCTCCAGCAGCGCCGTGAATTTATTACATTATTTCCAGTCTCCCTCCGGTCATCGTCGCTGTTGTTGGGTTTTCTTTCGTGCGAGGGGAGCTCCGTGCGGCGCAAGACGCCTTCGCAGCGCGGCGTGTCAGCGACCTCCCAAAGGGCGAATTCTTTGCGGGCGAGGGTGGATGTTTTTTAAAACTGAAACTAGAACTTGGGAGTTGTGTGGAGACAGGAAATGTACAACCCAGCATCAGGGGACCTGCTCGATTGGGGGGGGGGGGAAGATGGGACAAGTTTCACTCTGTTGATACAAAGTGACAAACGGAGGCGCCCGCCGAGATTGGGGGCATCTCAAATTGGGCCTATCCACGACTTGCAACGTTCGTGAAGAAGGTGTGCGGAATCAATGAATCATTCGCGTGATCGTCAAGCTTGTCCAGTCAGGTGCCTCAGCGTCAGAGCGAGCGGTCCCTCGATCGGAAGGTTACGAGTTCATACCCTGGTTAGGGGGTTGACTTGGTCCCATCAATCCCTACGGGGTCGATAAAATTAGTACAGGTTTTTGGGATTTCACTCGATCCTGCCATGAGAATGGGGAATTTCCACCACTGGCTCTGGATGGGCTGTAAACAGAGAGATGAGCACCGCCTCTATTGCTCATGCGAGCGAGAAATCACGTTGACTTTTTTAAAATTGTGACGTGCATTTTTACTTGGACATGGTACGGTCAACCACATTCGGACTGTAATTGAGAGAGAAAAAATATGTGGCCTCCTTTCTTGACGAGGGCGAGAGGTTCGTGAACACCCTGGTGGTGTTGGATGTACTCGGACTCACTTGTTACCCACGCTGCGATGGCGATGGTGTGCTTAGTTTTGCGTGTGTGTGTCAAACCATTGACTCACTCCTCTGCACAAGCCAGATTTTCTGTAACCGAATATCGTTCCCTGCAACTTTAAAACGACACCCCGTAGGGCCCATGTATTTATTAGATGTTGAAATATCGACAATTATGTTGCCCAACTTGGGGAACTTCCCGTTTACACCTCATTTTCCTCACAAACGCTCCTGAAAACAAACGCAGATTAAGGGCCGTGATGTTTTTTTTTGTAAAAATGGGTGTAAAATTTTTAAATCGGCTTGCTTATCAAGGATGGTTTTGTTGGGCCATTAAAAGTACCTACAGATATAAAGTAGAAACCAAGCATTTGCTCCACCAGATGTCTAGTTGTGACGTGCGCCAAGTCAAATTGCTGGGGCACGCCACTTTTATAAATGGGTTATTAAAAAAAGGTCTAAATCTCAAAGAAAATGGGGGAGATTTTGCCGCAGCAGCACCGACTATCAGCGGCACATGAGACGCGTGATTCGGACGGCCTCGCTGTACTGGCGAACAACACTGCCACCGTTGAGACGAAGAAAGTTAACCGGCGTAGAGAAAACGGACGACAAATCCCTGCGTGCGTGCGTGCGGTGTATTTAAGAACTGTGGGTGGCCGCAGGTAGCTCAAGTCGCGCCAAAAACCACGTTTAGGAGTGCTAAAGATGCAGCGTGAAAGCCAAGGGCTCCGACAGCCGAACGTGGACAACCGATCGAAGGTGTGACGAGTTTATTGGGAGAAACGTCCCCAAGTCGCCCAATGCAGCCGCCGCCGTTGTTTCAGAGGGAAAAATATGGAAGTAACGACAGTCCAACAAATAAAACAACCGGTGGGTGTTGTTCTTCATTCACGGTCCGTAAGGCATGCACAACGCACTATAAATAGAAGTCTTGCATTTTTACCTTTGGCTTATCTCCTGAAATCACGTGACAGTGTCTTTGTCTGAAATTTTAGAAAACATCGGTCGATGCAATCTCGAGTAAAAGCCGCGTAGCGTCGGAGGGGCTGGAGGGGTTTCGAAGCCCCCCAAGCCAGAGATTCAACCCCCCCCTTCTAAATTCTTTGTGTGGAGTCAAAAATGTTCCAATATTTAGCGCGGGGGACAATTAAGCGATACATATGGGCCGAGAGCTAGAGCAGAATGCACGATAGACCAAGGCAGATCCCATCACTCCCATCCCGCGCATCGTCATTCGCCATGACCTATCCACTCCTGGATAAAGGAGGCCTACCCAACCTCGTACACAAGGGGGGGGGGGGGGGGGGAGGTGAGAGCTCAAGCGGAAAGCACAACGGGCGCAAGCAGTTCGGATCGCTGCTCATTCTGTTCAGCATTTGCGTTAAGTTTGCTTAACTTAAACACGAACGTGTCGGGGGCCCCCTCCATGAGTTTTTGTTTGCCCCCCACCCCCGCCAGCCCGCACCTTTAAACAAGGTCAGGCTACAGCAGAGCCGCGGTGTGGCTTCGAACAAACGAATGGGACTCGCACGTGATGCTCTTGCGTCACGGCAGTTCGTATTTCTTCGCCGAGGCGACGAAACAGGAAGTGTCGTTGCGAGCAGGGGGAAGTGGACGATCCAGGGCAGATGTTTTCGCGCGATAACGGCGGCGGCAAAGGAGCTGGAGACTCTCCGTCTCGCTTGGCGGGGCTCAGGCTCGTGTGCTTCGCAGTGGCGGCCTTGCATTAAAAGAGAATAAAAATGTCGGGTTCGACGAGACGAAAGTTACTCTCACACGCTGCAGCGGGTGCGACGGTGCTGCCCTCTCCTGTGTGGGCCAAAGGCAACTTGAAGGGATCTCGGTTGTAGCTCTGTGGAATCCGCTGCTGCGAGCCGTTCTCGAACACAGAGGTTTGCGCGCTGCTCTGCGAGAGTTCCGAGTGGACGCCGTGTCCCGTGACGCGATGCCGATAACGCAGTTGGGATAACATTTTGGGAATATTCGAAAAAAACAAGTGAAATAAAGTCAACTCTTGGTTATCTGGGATTATGCGGTTGGCCCAGATTGTGCCTAAACCTTTTTAAACACGAAAAACAATGAGGCTAAAATACTGAACTTTGCCCCCCCCCCCCCCGCGCCATGCTTTGACGTCACGGTGTCAGACATCATTGAGTGTGAAGGCCTCGGGTGGCCCACAGTGTGGGGCTTGTCCTGGGCCGCGAGCCCCGGGTCCCGCGCACCCCTACGGACAGCCCTGCTTGGTGCCGCGTTTGCGGTCACGTGGGCACTGAGCCACTGACCCTCGACGAGTGAGAGGAGCAGCCGGTAAGAGTGACATTGAATCGATACATCCCTCGTTAATTACAAATCATGGGGCAGAGTGCCGTGGAGTGCAGTGAACATGGCATCAAGCCTTAAACCCAGCCACCCTAAGTTCGATTCCCGTCTCCTGCTAACGTGAGTGATATCAGAAACCAGTCTCTGGGCCCCCAACAATGCACAACCCGCATTGACCAGCGTCGTGAAGTATGGTCACCCAACCCCCCAACGACCTTACACAGCCTGGAAAGGCCTTCATCCAGCATTGGGTTTGAGAAACACCTGTAAATTATTCTAATTGTGATTTCGTGCAAAATCCACAACGGAGAGCGCCGCACAATTTCCAGGGTAAATAACATCCTGGCCGCCAGTCCTGCGCGCACGTACAATAGAGAGGTACACAGCAGCTATTGATATCACAAGCACGCTCTCGTACGGAGGTGTTGAGACTCCAGATCGGATTAGAAGTGCGCAGTCGTCGTCGGGATCCAGCACGGAGCGCAACGGTTCGTGGCACACAATAGACATAGTTGGACAACCCTCACAGCCCGACGAGCCGCAAGGTAGCAACGGATATGACGGTACAGCAAACGGATGCCTGAATCCACCCATACAAGCGCTGCGTTATCCCCCCGTTTGCGTGGGATTTTCTCCGGGTTACTCCGATTTCCGCCCTCGTACAAAATATCAATTCACGCAATCTGCCAAACATCCCAATGCAGGACCCTCCCGAATGGGATTCTTGAGACTCGGCGAGGCTTTTCTATGCCAAAGGACGTTATCGTGAGTCTTAGCGCGAGTGATGTCACCGCAGGGGATTGAGGGCAGAGTGAGGACGGAGTAAAGCGCGCGTTGAGACACCTTGGCGCTGTGAATAGTGATGACTTGGGGCAGCAGGAAGGGGCATGGGATACCATCGGTACCACGGGGTTTATCATTCAAACGCAGTTGAACGTAATGGCCACCTGACTCTGACCCGGAATCCAGGTCGCATTCCATTGACAGATGCATTCTCTATGAGACCTCCTTTACCAGTGGCAAAATATAGTAGTAGGTTTTTACCCTTTAAACTGGTACAAAAACTGACACCTTTATACAAGGCATCATGTTTGCAATAACCACAACACAAGCAGTCAAAATGCAAA